CCAGTCTTGAGGTCACGAGGGCGTGAGTGACTGTTGCGAGTGCCTCCCGGTTCAGGTAGGGATGCAATTGGTGCACCAGGTGAACCTGGGCAAATACCCCCCTGGTAACAGCCGTTCTTCATCTTGATGATGTGCGGATGGGTGGGGGGAGGGAGCTGGAACCAGTTCTAAACGGCACTGTAGATTTGTGGAACCTCTTCTATAGAAGAAGTTAGAACTGGCAGGAACCCACCACTGATTTGGATCCTTTTCCTTTTAGGAGTTCAAGACAGCAACTCATCTAAAGTTGTCACACTGGTGTATCTTCACACATATCTTCAACTGAGTGAATGAATCTGCTCACAATAATATGAGGTGGTACAGATGTCTTTCCTTTTTAATCTATTTTAATCCTGAATTCTCTTCTCCATTCCCTCCCTTTCTTCATGATTCCTCTTATAAAGCTGCATAAATATTAAAATTAGAGGAGGTGGTGTAGGAGAAAGAGGTGAAGATGTCATACAAAAAATATCTTATTACTCTTCAATATCTTCATAAAGTATTTAATTCAGACAAGAGAAGAGGAACTCAACAAATTTGTAGATGATACCAAGCTGGCAGGAATAGCCAACACCCCAGAAGATAAGTTCAAGATCCAGAAGGATCTTGACAAAGTTGAACACTGGACTCTATCTAACAAAATGAAGTTCAGTGATAAGAAAAGTACGGTTTTACACTTAGGCAAGAAAAACCAAATGTACAGCTATAGAATATGTGGAACTTGGTTCAATAGCATTAACTGTGAGATCTATCTTGTTCTCCTAGTGGACAACCACTTAAACATGAGCTAGCAGTGTGCTGAAGCTGCCAAAAAAACCAACGCAAGCCTAGGCTGTATTAACTGAGGGATAGAATCAAGATCACATGAAGTGTTCATACCACTTTACCACCTTGGTAAAACCACCCTTGAAATACTGCATCCAATTTTGGTAACCAAGATATAAAAGCCATGTTGAGATTTTGGAAAGAATGCAGAGAAGAGCAACAGAGATGTTTAGGAGGCTGGAGGCTAAGAGACATGTACCATTGCAGGAATTGGGTATGTCTAGTCTAGTGAAAAGAAGGATTGGGATGACGATATCAGTGCTACAATATTTGAGGGGCTGCCACCAAGAAGATGGTGGTCAACATATTCTCCAAAGCACCAGAAGGAAGGACAAGAAGTAATGTATGGGAACTAATCAAGGAGAGAACCAACCTAGAACTAGAGAAATTTCCTGACAGAACAATTAACCAGTGGAACAACCTGCCTACAGAAGTTGTGGATGCTCCATCCTTGCAGGTTTTTAAGAAGAGATTGGTCAACCATTCGTCTGAAATGGTATAGGGTCTCCTGATTGAACATGAGGTTGAACTAGAATGTTTCCATGGTCCTCTCCAACTCTGTTCTGTTGGAGAATTCTGACATTGCAAAAAAGCAGAATTTTGCCATAGGCTGGGGAACTTGTGGGTTGAACCAGGCTACTCTCTACCTTTAAGGGTGAATGGAATGAGGAAAATGAAGACATGTTTTCACAGAACTGATAGTCTCATTTGACATCCTTTCTCAAGGATACAAAGTCAAAACATTGTTTTCAGCTTTGAGTGCATTCTCAAATAAATCATCATGCCCTTTCTTCAGTGATTCTGATGATAGAGTTCACAAGCCACTTCCTACTATTTGACCTTCATTTACACAAAAGTGAAAAGGACCAAGATTTCCTTGAAGGACTCAGGTCATTGATGTTGCCCCACCTCTGTCTTAGGTTCTATAAAACCTTTGCTCAGAAAGCCAGAGAGTATCAGAAAGATCCAACTTGACTCTTCACTACTTCTGTCCATTCAGATCATCTCAAGGTAAGTGGCTGAATAAATAAGATTCTTACCAAGAGGGCTACTTTTCAGGCTATAGAAAGTATAGAAGGACTTGTTGTCAAAAGCTTTCAAGCAAAGTAGTGAAAGAAAGGGATGAACAAGGATTTCTGGGAAGATTTAAATAGGGAGAACACAGTTTAGGCCATTGCTGTCAGCCCTCATTAATTGATAACATTGGAGAATCACAATGTAAATTATAAAAAGGTAAAGTTGAGCTCTCCTTGAACAACGTATTTTTTTCTTGGGATCAGTATAAAATTGATTTCCTGCTGTCTTCTTTTAACCTTCCTGTTTTAAAAAAAACTTAATGGTCTCCTCTTCTTTCAAACTATTAACCTATCTAGCTTTTCCAGATCAGCCAAGTAGAACATGCCATGTAATTCAACCTGGCTTCATAGACTCATCTATATCATTTAGACAAGTAGTTCATCGGTATCTTCTTCCAGATGTTTCTTTGACTTTTCAGATTCATACACAATTTCCTGATAGCTCCCATTCCACAACTAGCCAAGTATTATCTTGCTTAGCTTTTTATGATCAACCAAGGTTGTCCAATTGTTGCCACTCTCTGTCTAGATAATTTTCATTTAATATTAATATAAACAAAATGAAATCCAGATGTATTTATTTATAGGATATACGGCCACCTACCTCATACAATGACTCATTTTGGTCCTGGTACCACTCACAACTTTTAAAGCAAGGTCATTCTTGGGTCTCTCAAATGACATGTCTGATCCTTGGAGGTGTTTTATTTCCTCATTTTATACTTGGCTTAGTTGCTGAGCGCCTGATCCTCAGTGCTCATGATCCATTTATGTCCCACTGATTTCTATAGACCTGGTGAAAACATCATTATATTTAGATCCAATCCTTTACTAAATATATAGCTGCTATGGGAGTCAAGGAAGAAGAGAGCAGGATAAGAAATGTAACTTAGAGAAGAAATGCATGCATGCTTCCTTTCTATATTTGAGTCAGTGAAGAAAATAGATTTCTTGTATTTTGTATTGCTTTCTGTCTTTGAAGGTCAGCCAAACAATGGGTCACCTTGCTTACTTCAGCCTTTGTTTTCTTGGCATCTTCTTCACCAGTCCTTTCCTTCAAGGTGAGTTCCAGTGACAAATTTCAAGGCGAGTCCATCATTGGCTGCACCATTTTTCAGAAATAAAAGAAACAAGAGTTACTTTGACATCTTACAGATTAAGGGCCACATTAATATCAAAGTGATAATAACCACATAATGAAACCCCTTCCTTTCACACTTGGGGTCTTCTTGAATTCTCCTAGTTGGCTACAAGATGAACAAAATGTTGAATTAGACAACCCATTCTTATAATTTGATTCTGTGAAAGGTTAACTTTCTGTGCAGGATCCAAAAAGATCTTGACAGACTTAAACAATGGGCCCTATCCAACAACATGAAATTAATGTGGAGCAAAACAAGGTGTTACACCTAGGCAGGAAAAGCCAAAGATACAAGTACAGATTAAGTGAAACCTGGCTCAAAAACAGTAACTGTGAGAGGGACCTCGGAGTTCTAGTGGACGATCACTTAAATATAAGCCAGCAGTGTATGGCAGCAGCCAAAAATAGTAATACAATCCTTGGTTGTATAAAGAGAGCCAGAATCAAAATCATATGAAGTATTCATCCACTTTATAAAACCTTAGTAAGACCACACTGGAATTCTGCATTCAGATTTGATCACCTCATTACAAAAAAGATGTTGAGACTTTGGGAAAAAATGGAAAGAACAGCAATTAAGATGATTAAAGGCATGGACACAAAAACATGAAGAACAATTGCAGGAACTGGGCAGGGCTAGTTTAGAGAAAAGAAGGACTGGGGATGACATGATAGCAATATTTGAGGAGCCACCACAAAGAAGAGGGTGTCAACTTATTTTCCAAAGCACCTGAGGGCAGGACAAGAAACAATGGATGGAAACTATCCATTGAGAGATGCAACCTGGAATTAAGGAGAAACTTCCTAACAATGAGGACAATTAACCAGTGGAACAGCTTGCCTTAGAAGCTGTAGGTACTTCATCACTGGAGGTTTTTAAGAAGAGATTGGACAGATTTATCTGAAATGGTATAGGGTCTTCTGCTTGAGCTGGATTAGAAGACCTCCAATGTCCCTTCCAGCTGTATTCTGACACAAGATATTTCTTTTGTTCCCAGAATTCTATATAGACATCATCATCTTCTTCTGTCTTCTAATATTCTTTTTCATTACCTTCTTTCAATGCAGTGAAAGCTGACACCTGTGCCAGAGAATGGTTGCAAAACCAAGGAAACTGCTATGCATATTTTGATCAGAAGTTGACATGGCATGAAGCTGAGGTAAAAAGCATTTCTCACAATCAGTATCTTCTGTAATGAATGATCTACAGATTTAGGAAAAATCTTGTAGGGTGGTAGCTAGATTGGGTTTATCTGTGACACAAAAAAGCCGCAGTAAATAATATATCTCATCATCCTATAATTGAAACTTATATATTCTTTACCAACACTCTGAATTAAGGTACTCTTAAATTTTGAGCTGGAAGGAGACATGTTTAAGTGCAAATATAGGATTTGACTAAGTTGATCTGTAATATTAGCATTTCCTAGTAAAACTTAAAATGTCCCTTCAATTCATATTGTGCAAATGATTGACTATATTTAGAATTTTACGAAGTTCAACATGTGGGAAGTTTCACAGATCCTGCAATAGGGAAATGATCACAGATTCACATTCCTTTCTGCTTTCTTCAGATTGAGTGCCAGAGCTATCACCGTGGGGCCCACCTTGCCTCCATCCTTACCACAGCAGAGACACTCTTGGTGGCTGAGCATGTATCCACTTACCAACGGGAACTTGGTAATGTCTGGATTGGACTCCATGATGTCCGTCAGGTGAGATCATCTGACTTAACTCTTTTCCTATGTTTCCCTGACAGCAGATAACACAATGTCCGTTGACTTGCCTTAATCCTGTAGGCTCCTGCTCCATACTTTGCTGCTAAATATTCCATACCTCGTAATCACAGACTAAAATTACCAGCCAATCTTTCGTCCTCATTCTCTAATGCTCATTTCCTTTCCACAGACTGGGAAGTGGAGATGGGCTGATGAATCCACCTATAACTACAAATCCTGGATGACTTACCAGCCAGACAACTATGGCAACAATGAGCACTGCGTGGAACTGCAACGATCCACAGGTAAGCAACCCTCTCCATGCAGGACATTTTAAACTTCTAAA